GTAGTAGGTCAAAATTAAGCACCTTTTTGGCCATGAGATCCCCAGGAAATCTTTCATGCGTAGGAGATGGGGCTTTTGTTAAACCAAAACAGTGTTTATTAAAAAGTTAAACAAAACACTTCCAATTCAACAAATTAGACTTGCTTTACAGTCGACGCTGGATGGAGTTCCAATTTTCTCGAAACACCAGCCACCAAATTCCAAATCCGCTGTCTTCTAGCCCTTCGGCTACACCCTATTCTTTTCTTTCAAGCATCCGGCCACACTTCAACCATCTCAGTAGCAACCTGGCCGCACCACAACCCCGTTCTTCCCGACCCAGTCGCCCGTTAACCTCTTTTTCTCAAAAACTCTCCTGAAGTCTTTGGGCTAGGGCCCAATTACAAAGCGCGTGCGATCTTTTGCGCACACCTTGTTTTTCCAAAGTGCAACAAATATTTGATCACAAGAAAAATTCTCGCATTTTCTCGAGATTTCTTGACGGGAGTATGTCGGGAGTCATCATGAAAGATGATCATGTCAAAAGCTACAAGGAGCCAAAGTTTTGCTATTAAGATATATGTAGAGATGAAATTACAAATTTTGAATGCCGAGATCAATCCTCGCTCTTTGATTGATATTTTCAGGGACAAAAATCGTCATGAAACAAGCCTAGCAGATGCATTCTTTGCGTACGGTGGTCTTTCAACAATATATCATTATTCCCTGAGCCGAGTAAGTGCTTCGTCTTTCACATACAAGTCTTACTAATTCACCTAACCGGTATCTTCAGGTGTTTCGCCCTCAGAATACGAGTTAGACTTTTTTCAAATATGCCAGGAATTTTCAGTGTTTAAGTAGTTTAGTATGTATAACGGCTGGCTTTTGCAAGATTACACTTTTTTCCTCACCATGACCATTATTTGCTTGATCCCTGCACATTGGCGGATCTAAGGGGGAGGGTGGGGGGAGGGGTGGGCAAAGGGTCTTTCGCCTCAGGAGCTTAAGTAGGAGTTGTTTTACTGTACAAAAGTTTGCTCGGGACCCTCAGTGCCCCCTTCCCCCACTTTCGTCCCCCAGGATCCTTGTTAATCTCAGTTTTAGTG